GTTTATGCCTAAAGTCAGACTTGTGTTCATGGATATGTATATATCAGCTGCACTTGCTATTGGAAATATTTAGATTAATTAAGTTCATTAGTGAATTAATAAAATGGGGGGAGAAGGCATGGAGGGCAACCATGGATGCCAGGGACAATGGAGGAGGAAGATGGGACATGGCAGAGGTTGGGGGATGGGGAATCAGGGATGGCAAGACAAAGGGCAAGGTATGCAGGATGTAAGAATTGGAAAATTACTTGCTGAGTACATGTATGTTGATGTGCTTGACTGAACCAGTGCACAGTGTATTTTGGATGGAAAATTCATTGGTGTGTTGTGATGGTGTATAGTGAATTAATGTAGAAAATAAAAATTAAAAAAAAAAAAGAAAAAAAAAAAGGAGAGGAAGCCAGTATAACAAAAACCTTGATATTTTCTATAGCTTGGTTAGGAATATGGGGGTTCGTTATATTTTCATCTCTATTTTTCTGAGTGACTGGAAATTTTCATAGTAAAAAACTAAACTGTTGAGTGTGTTCTACTGGCCTGTGTTTTTGATGTTTCATTACGCCCTCCAACAGCCTGGTAAGACACATTCATCACTCATGTTTTAAAGAAGAGGAAATCGAGGTGCTGAGAAGATTGGCGTCTCGGCCAAGATCACACGGCCAGGAGGGGCAGAGCTAGGATCTGCCCACGAGAGCCGCTGGCTCCCACAGTACCGCTACGGAGGATAGGACTTGAGGCCTGGTGATTAAGCTGCTGTGGAGACCCAGAGAATGGGGAATAAAAAGGGGTTCTTTGGCTTGAATCCCAGGGGACCAGGAGAGCAGCGGGGGAGTCCAGTGAGGAGCTGGTTTGGCAAATCGAGGTAAGGGAATCAGCATTAGACAGTGACAATGGCTGGTAATTCTCACTTGCTTTCTTTAAAACTGTAATTTATGATTTACATAAAATCATTGTACATCTTTGTGGGGTGTAGAATTTTTTGGTTTGTTTTAGGGTACGTGCAGTTGCCAGGGAGTGACATAGAGGGAGAGAGAGACAGAGAGGAAGTGAGAAATCTCCTCGCAAGGGGGATGGCCACACTACAGTACCTTCTTCTTCATTCTCTTCTTGGGACGTTGGGCATGCACGCACATGCATCCCATGTGGTCCTTAAGCCTCCAGGTCCAGGACTTGATCTGCTGAGTAGGCCATATGGGATCCAGCCACCTTAACCTTCACACCATCTGCTGGCCCCAAACGCAGCATGGTTTTGTAAAGCAAGTATCAAGATCAGATGTATTCTTGTGTCTGTTCATTGTTTTCTCCCAACTCAAGTCCCTTAGCTTCCTTACTGAGTGAGGACACTAGGTACTAGGTCATTGAAAAAGTCATGAAGAAAGAGAGACTGTATGTCTCCACTTAACATACACCGACTGTCTGCACTCTATGGTAGAGACTGAGAGACTGGATGACATAAATGCAGGAAAAATTGTTATGGACACTAGAGACAAAGTGGGAAGAGTGTGGTGGGAGAGGAAGAGCATAGGAAAGGAAATCTGGGGGAAAAACGGAGTGGTAAGACATTTGTGGGACACAGATATGGTTTATTATCTGTTGATGAGAATGCGTATAGTACTCTCAACTGGGCTGGTGTATATCATGCTGGGTAAAGTCTCTACAATCTAAGTGATGTATAGCGATGACATGTATAGATAATAATAATAATAACAATAATAATAATAATAGAAAAAATAAAAAAAGACGAAGGGAAAAAAAAAAGAAAAAGTCATGAAGTCTGTTTTTCTATGCAAAAATGCATCACGACTTCTCCAATCACCCCATATATGTTAAATGGGGATATACAGCATTTGTCTTTCATGCCTGGCTTATTTCACATAGCATTATCGCCCCAGGTTTGTTTATTTCATGTCAAATGATAGGGATCTTTTACTTGTTCTGCCTGTCTTGAATCTTACATGAATCTACCCTCCTAGCCGGCAGAGTGTGGTCCTCTCTGCAGATGACAGCCACGTTCAGAGAGGGTAAGTGACTCATCCAGGGACACATGATTGCCAAGTCAACCCAGAACTAAGACCTGGACCCTGGAGAGTTTTCCACATCAAACCTCCCTCTGCACTGGGTGGAAGTGGGCAGAAAGAAGGCCCCTCTGACCCCCAGCTGTCTCGGGTGTGCTGGCATGTTCGGTGAAAGCAGAATGAACTTCCTCACTGCCCAGGGGCTAGGTTGGCCGGACGTACTCCCACCAGCCTCACCACGTGCTGTGGGCTCTCCGGAGGATGCGGGTGGGCGGATTCCTTTGCTGCTGCACCTGCTGTTGGCCCTCGGCTCTGCCTGCACAGCACCTCGCTGTCTGCTCAGTGTCCCCTTAGCAGACAGGCTACCTCTGACCTGCCTGCACCCGCAGCATCCCCTGCCTTCCCTCCATTCTGTGGATCCTCTCTCTTCTTCACTTTACTGCTGTCATATCTCACATAATTCATTTCTTTTTTAAAAAGTTTATATCCTCCATGGGTGAGAGAGACACACACACACACACACACAGAGAGAGAGAGAGAGAGAGAGAGAGAGAGAGAAAGCACCCCAGCAGGGTCTCAATGCTGCGATCTACCCTCAGCCTCAGCCAGCCTGGATCACGGGCACCCATGTGGGCCTGGAGCACTTAGGGAGGTCTCCAGATGCAAATCTGGAGCCTTCCCATGTGGGTCACATCCTCCCAGAGGCCAAGCACCATCCAGACCCTCTGTAATGCATTTCCCGTCCCCTTCCCCGGAATATAAGCTCCGTGAGGGCGGGGGCTTTGTCTTATCCACTCAGCGCCCCCCACAAGGGGCTCCCCAGTGTCTGTTGAATGAATAAATAAATGTCAAAGGAACGGAAGGGTGAGGCTGCAGTCATGCTTCCTCTACTCCTACCTTCGGGAAGGACTTCCACAGGGAACCAAGGAAAGACAGGTCCCATCGGTGGCCAGCTGCTGAAATGCCCTCGGGGTTACATTTGGCCCCTCTGGGAGCCGGAAAATGCCCCCTCATTTTACAGGCAAGGAAAGAGGCTGAGGTGGGGCCCCTCAAGCCTTTGACCTCTGAGAAACTCGTTCTGCAAGCCTGGATGTGTCCGGTTCATCCCACGCGGAGAGGCTACTTGGAGAAGGCCTGGATCACTCGGGGCATGTTCCCGACCACCCAGCTTCAGGTTCAGTCACCTCTGCTTCCTCCTCCCACGTGGGAGGCACCTGGGGAGGCTCCCTGCCTGCCCCAAATGGGCAGTTCATCCCCCCAGACAAGCTGTGCTAGGGCTCTGCATTCTGGCTCCCCACCCCTCTGATGTGACCCCCTAACTGGAGGTCGGGAAGTGAGGACGCCTACGGGGGCCTGGGAGGCAGCTCAGAGGAGCTGCGGCCGGAAAGCCGTGTGCTCAGGAGATTGGCCGCGTGGGTATCTAGGTTGGAGCCTGACCATGGTCACTTCCGGGTGGGGCGCTGCTTGGCCTGGACCCAAGATCCTGGTGGGGACAGTTAGCAAAGCTGCCCCTTCCAGCCTAGGGACTGCCCAGTCCCTGCTCTGCCTGTCCCCCCTTGAGGTTTCTCAGCCCACACCTGGCTTACTGGGGGGATGGCCTGTGTCCTGGAGGCCTCCCCACCATGCAGGGAGATGGACCGGACCCAGACAGACCGGGGTGCGCTCAGTGGAGTGTCTGGGGTCTGCTTAGGACCAACTGGGCAGGCGGGCAGCAGGGTATGTGTGGCCGATGTGCTTGTCCCCCCACCTCTCCCAGGCTCTGCCTGCCCTCCCAAACTGGGGAGAAGCCCGCTGAGGTTCCTGAGGGTCTGCCTCCCCTTGTGTGCAGTGTGGGGGAAGAACACCGCGCAGGGCTCAGCCTTCCCCTCTCAGGGACCCAGTTTCAGAACCAGGGGGCTTCCTCCTGGAAGGGCAGGTAGGGAGGGAATGATGGACTGTGGGAATGTCTAAGGTGGGCAGAGGAGGGGAGCAGGGAGGAGAGACTGGATGGTTGACTGAAAGGATTTTTGTTTATTTGTTTTAAAAGGTTTTTGCCACAGGGGTTGTGCATTTGCCAGACAGAAATCATCCCCCTGGGCATGGCCAGGCTGCAATCCCTTCTCCTCCATTATCTTCCTGGGATTTGGGGCACACACACACACACATGCCTGGTGTGTTCCAAGCTACCAGGTCCGGGACTCAAACTGAGGATGCCATATGGGAGTCCACTGCCTTAACCGCCACGCCGCCTACTGGCCCCAGCTGGAAGGGTTTTAAGGGAGTGCGACCAGGCCAAACCCACTCAGCTTAGTATGTCAGCACGAAACACACCAGGTCACAGGACACAGTCCTAAGGGATAAACATGTCCCCACATCTTGGGCAAAACCCCAGAAAAAAAGGCAGACCCGGTCAAGGGAGCGATGTGATGACAGGAGAGAAATGAAGGGAGGGAGGCCACGGAACACGGGAGGACACAGGGACTGTATGTTCAGAACCCCCACCAGGAAGCCCTCACCCGGAGGGAAGGGGCTCCTCAGACAGCCTGGACGCAGCCCCGCTCAGCAGAACGCTTCGCGGGAACTCCAGGCCGCGCTGCTTCCCGGAGAGGGCTCAACACCTGGCTGGGCAAATCCGAGCTAAACCAAAACGCAATCGGGCGTGGAATGGTTTTAAATTTCTTCTTTATTATAAAAAAAAAAAAAAAGGCATTTTTTTCTGGGTTTTTAAAAACTTCTCCAATATATAAAACTTTTTTTCCCGCCACTGAGCACTTCTTTCTTGCCTTCTTCACTCCAGCTCCTGGGGCAGCCTACGCTGACCCCGGAGGAAGAAACCTTTCCACGGCTGAGACCTGGGAGTGGGCGAGGGTGAAGGCGCGAAGGCCGGTGGTCACTGGTCACAAGGAGCAGTTCATTGGCACAAAAATACATACCGTGAGGGATGAGACCAGCACATACACGTATGGATTGATCTACAATCCGTATTAAAAAAAAATAGACCCCAAGTGTCATTTTACATTTGTAATATTATACAAAATAATCTATATTTTTAAACACCACATTTCAATCCACGTGCACTCGCATCCTCACACACATGCGCACGCACACACACATACACAAGGTGCTAGTGCCCCTCTGTGCTTCCGTTTGTGGGGACGAGGGTGTCAGTAGGCAAAGATGACGTGGTAGGTGACCTGGTGGCCATTGTCCCAGGCGTAGAGCAGGCGGTCCTTGGGGTTGTAGTCCACCTGGGTGGTGTAGGCGTACTCGTTCTCAAACAGCAGCCTGGGCACGATCTGCGTGTTGGTGTGGGTGTCGAAGGCGTAGGAGATGTTGGCGTTGCGCTGGTTGTAGCTGTCCACGGCGTACAGCACCCCACAGATGACGAAGCAGTTGCCGTAGAAGTTCCTCCGGAGCCCTGTGCGCCACGTGGTCTCCTTCTGCATGCTCAGGTCCACCGCGTTGAGCTTGCTCAGGACGATGACCTCCTGGCTGAAGCCCTCCTCGTCCAGGGCCGGGTAGATGAGCCACAGGCCATTCTCGTCCACGGCAAAGTCCACGTCCGAGTGGCCCTGCCACCGCCAGGGTGTGGCCTCCTCGTAGGCCACGTCGTGCAGCATGGCCCAGGCGGCCACGTAGCGCTGCTTGAGGTCGTACTTGATGATGTTGCGGGTGAAGGCGCGGTTGTAGTAGAAGGCGCCGTTGTACACCACGTGGCCCGTGCCGATCCAGCTGTAGGGGAGCTTGTAGGAATTGCTCCAGCGGCCTGCGGGCAGCGAGGGGGCAGGGCGTCAGGGCCAGGCTGCAGAGCGGGGGTGGCCAAGGTCCTGGGGAACCCGGGTCGTGCTTTGGCTCTGCCACTTCCTAGTGCTAACAGATGGCTTAACCTCTCTGTGTCTCTGTGTCCTATCGGTCACATGGTACAGCAATCCCTGCTCACCTCCCTGAGCTGCTTCGAGTTTCTCGTTCATTTATTTTTCCATGAGCAGGGAGACAGAGAAAGACAGACATGCCCAAGAGGTTCCTCACGCCTTGATCCACCCCCAGCCGCAGCCAGTCTGGATCACTGGCATGCCTGCCATGTACAGGGAGGCCCTGGGACGTAATCCAGGGACCTCCCCACGCGGATCCGGCTGCATTACCACTGCACCGCCATCGGGCCTGGGGGATGTTTCACTAATGTCTTTTAGACCAGGCCCGGGGTTGTCCCACACAGCAGGAGCTGGGAAGAGGGGTGGGGCCAGGAGCCACCAGAGGCAGCGTGGGAAGGGGCTGCTCTCACAGGGAAAGCCCTTTCACCGTTGGAGGCTGTCACCCTTCCTGTCCGCTGTCACTGTCCAGAGGGTCCTGGCTATGGCTGGCACAGGGTGGCGGGGCAGGGAAGAAGCTGCGAGTGGGCCCCCCCACGTACCTTGTTTGAAGTTGTCCAGGTTCCGGAACTCTACCAGAGTGTTGCCATAGTAATAGATGGTGACGTAAATCCGCTCGTCCTTGGCCAGGGGGTCCTTCATCCAGGCCCCTTCGTTCCGCCCGTAGGTGTTCTGCGTGGTCGGTCCTGTGATCGTGGAGAGGGTGTCCTTGCACCTGCCTGGGGAGAAGTGGGTGGGCGTTGGGAGATCTAAGGGCCCACTCCTGGCCTCACCCAGACTCCGAGCTGACTCAAACATCTTCCAGCCTCCAGCTACTCCTCTCCCTGCCCTATACTCTCCTCCTGCAAAGCCCCCCACGTCCTCCTCCTGGGCCACTTCCATGTCACCAGACTTTGCTCCTGCTGTTTTCTGACTTCTCAGTCCCACCCCTCAAGGACCTAAGATCCAAAGTCCTTTCCTGACACTGCCATCCTCTGCAAACCGTCCTGGCCATGTGTCCTAGTCCATCCCAACCCGCCGAACCATGAAGGCATCTCCCTTACAGGGCATGTCACCCTGTGCCCCCACAACGCTTATGCATCTGTCCCTCCCTCCACGCGCACCCCATCCTGAGTGGGAGCACCGACGGGCACCGAGCACAGTGTCTGGAAGGCATGGGCCCTCCGCAGGTCGGCAGGATCTTGGGTGACAGAGCACAGCGCGAGGACTGGCCAGACGGGGGTCTCTGGAGAAGTAGCCGGGAACACCAAGCTCCCCCAGGTTGTGTGAACAGGGGGCTTTCATGGTGCCGAGGCCCACCTACCAGTCCTGGAGCCCCTGCTGTCACTACGGGCAGCAGATGGCAGGGTCCCTGAGGGACAATCGGAGGGGCAGGTACCGAGCTCCCACATAGGAAGTTACTCTGACTGTGGGACCACCTTGATGCGACAGGAACTCAGCAAGGCTCCCCACAACCTTTTCAGGTTTATTTATTCAGAGGGGGAGGCAGACCCCCCAACACGGTTGTCATTCTGCGGCCCTCCACAGCTTCAGCCAGTCCCCAGCATGGGCAGGTGCGTATCTGACAAGGCCAGGGAGACCTCGGGATGGGAACTTGGGTCTTCCCATGTGGCTTCACTGTCACGGGACATGGTGTTATCGGAGAGCCACCATGGCGGGCTAGCGACGTCCAGAGTGGCTCTTTGGAATGAGCCAGTACCCACCTAGGAAGGTCCTAAAAGGCGACTGGCACCCCACGGGGTCAGCCCAAGCCATGAGCTCGCAGTGTGTACGTGTGGTATTACTGAGCGTGGCCTTGAATGGCGTGGAAGTCACAGTGACCAAGGCCACGTGCATGTCTGTCTCCACACTGGTGGTATGTGGAGGAGCTGGGAAGGGGGCGGCAGAGGGTGGGGGAAGCCCAGATGAACCCCCCTCCTGGAGCTGGGACCAGCAGAGCCACCCCCCACCCCCCACCACACATCTGCTGTGAACACGGGCGGCACAGCTGGGCCATAGTGACGAGAATAATTGGTCCTTGACACTGACCTGAGACAAAAATTAACAAAGGCCTCACCCCGGGGATCCGGGGTCCACCAAATTCCAGGTCACCCCATTTCTAAATTGCTGCAATTGTTTCCGTCTGTTCTCCTTAGCTGTGCTCTGAGGAAGGAGCATGGGCTCGCAGCTGACAGGACAGGGTGGGCAGCTGTGCCCTCGGCCCTGGGTCTGGGGCAGTGGGGGAAAGCAGTGGGGTGCAGTGGGGTGCACCCTTTTTCAGGCAGCTGGCAGGGGTGAGGCAGCCATGTGCGGGTTCATTAGGGCCCAGCCTGCCAGAGTGGGGAGGGTTTCCTCCACAAGATCAACTCCAGAACCTGCCCAGCGCCTCATCCCCAGCTGAGCTCATCTGTTCATGACAATAAAATAGGCTCTGACTAGGGCCAGCGGGCGGCATGGTGGTTAAAGTGCTGGACTCCCACACGGCCAACTGCGGTTCAAGTCCCAGTCTTGGCTGCTTGCTTTCTTACTTTCTCTCTCTCTCTCTCATCTCTCTGGTAAGTACATGTACCCTACAGCAAATTAAAAAATAATAATAAATACATAAAATTAAAATAAATAAATACTAATAGGTACATATGAAAAAGTGAAAAAGGAACAACTCATATGTGTCAGGGAAATTCACGGAAAAGTGGAATTAAAATACGAGACAGAACACGCCTTGCCTCACGGGCCCAATTCTTGGCTTTGGGGCATGTGTGCGGGTGCAGCTGGCACAGGAAATCGGCGTCCTGGCTGTGCCGGGCTGTGCCAAGGGAAAGGAGACATAAAAATGCCCTCCCTGGGGCTCCCTTAGGTAGAGGAAGCACGGCTTCTCCATGGCAGCCAGGGTCTCATTTGGGTTTGTTTTTGCCATAGGATGTGTGCTTACCAAAGAGAGACAGTGAGAGGCAAGGTGAGAAGTCACCTCCCATAGGGGACAGCCACACCACAGTCCCTTCTCTTCTAGTCTCCTCTTGGGATTCTGGGCAAGCACATACATGTGCCCAGCTTGATTTTCAAACCGCCAGGTCCAGGACCTGAACTGCAGTCAGCCATACGGGAGTGCAGCACCATCCCACCACCTGCGGGCCCATCAGAGCCTGTTTTATTGGTTTGAACAGATGAGCTCGGTTGGGGATGAGGTTCGTGACCTCTGAGACCTGTGGGTGTTACTTTATATTCCAGGTGTGGGTAAGTCGAGGATCTTGAGAGTTGGAGATTATTGGAGTTACTCCAATAACTTTGGGTTATCTGGGTGGGTCCTAAGTGCAACCCCAAATACCCTTGTAACAGGCAGAGGGAGGTCTGACCACAGAGAGGAGAGGATGTGGCAGTGGGAACAGAGATTGCAGGGTGTGGCCACAGGCCAAGGAAGGCTGGCAGCCACCAGAACTAGGAATGGACCCTTCCCCAGAGCCTCCAAAGGACCCGCCCTGACACCCTGACTTCAGCTCTGTCAGCTGCACTTGGGACTTCCAGCCTCCACAAGTGCTAGAGAGTAAGTGTCTGCTGCCTGCAGCCAGAAAGGAACCGACACACGGCGTCAGCTTCTCAGGTGAGGGAGACACGCCGACTTCTGTGGGATGACTCTTGGCCCAGGACTTGTTTCTTTTACTTTTGAGAGGTTTTTGCTATAGGGCACATGTGCTCGCCAGACAGACAGAGACAGAGAGACAGAAAGCGAGAAATCACCCCCCAGGGGGGATGGCCACGCTGCAATCCCTTCTCCTCCATGCTCCTCTTGGGATCTTGGGCACGCACGCACACGCACCCGGCGTGAATTTAAGCCATTGGGTCCAGGACTCGAACCGCGATCGACTACATGGGAGTCCAGCGACATAGCTGTTATGCTAACTGCTGGTCCCGGCCTAGGTCTTGTTTCTGAGCATTGTACCTGCAAGATCACTTCCTCCCGGTGTCCACCTGGCTCCTCAAACTTAGCAGGTTAAAAACAGAGTTCACAGATCGGGTAAATTCACTCTACAGGCAGTGATGATTTTAGTGATGGAATGTATAAAATAAAGAGTGTTCATTTTTTTTTTCAGTTCGAAGCCTACTCCCCCTGTCCGAGAGAAAGACCTGGCATGCCACCCGCCCCCCACGGCAGAGCCCAGGTCATTCCTGGCATCCCTGTGTCCTCCACCCACTCTGGGGGCCACTGAGCCGCCTCCATCCCGTCCCTCCTTCACCTCTTGGCCGACCTCACCGCTGTGGCCTGGATCACTCCAATGACACCAGTTGGACTCTGCGCACGCTCACGGTCCCACCCAGCCAGCAGTTCCTGAGCGGACATCCACTAACTTGGAAACTCGCCTTCCCCAACCACTGCTGGAGGCCGAGTCCCTGTCCTGGTACACCAGCCCTGTCACCTTGCCATTTAAAAACACTTTTTTCTTCTTAATCAGGCCCATGCTTGGTGGTCAAGAAGACAGATACCACATGGCTGACCACATGGTTCAAATCCCAGTCATGGCAGCCTGACAAAGACGCCAGGTACATGTCCTGCACGCCCCAGGTCCTGAGAGAACGGAGCAGTGGAGGAGAGGTGGCGGCACAACTAGCTCCACTAGGGCTGGCTTCTTCCTCTCCCTCTCTGTCTCTCTGATGAGCGCAATTTTTTTCCTTTCATTCACAACAGAGCATGTGTGTGCTTAAGAGAGAGAAAGGTGAGAGAGATGGGAGAGAGACGAGCACCTTCCACAGGATCTGCTCACACTGTGATCTTCTTCCTCCGGTCCTCTGACTGCCAGATCTTGGGTACCGTGTGTCTGTGTGGTGTATCAGGCTGGCTGGGGATTCAAACCGTGTTCACCACGTGGGACCCAGTATCTCCTGAGCAGTGCATCACCTCTGAGCCCTGGAGCTGCTCTGGCCTCGCCATTCTTGCCTCCCTCCCTTTGCTCGAGGTCTCGGGCGCCAATGCCCCTTTGTGGAAGCCACATCTCACTTCCGGCCTTCTCAGCCTGGCACGGTGTCGTGCTGAATGGATTCTGAGCAGACCGTGTAGCCCCACTGGGAGGCTTACACCGGGGCCCTCAACCGTCCACAAGGAGTATGGCCTCGGTGTGCTGTCATTTCCAAGGCCCGAGGCCCCTCCTGCATCCTAAGACCATGGCGTTCCCAGTGGTGTGAGGGGCTGGAGGCGAGTCAGCGAGACTGGGACCAGAGTGTGCCTGTGGGGTCAGGGCAGGCAGAGTGGCCTCCAGTGACAGAGCAACGGACCTCGGAGGTGCCTGGGTGTCTAGTCGGGGTGCCGGGATGCTCCAGAGAGCCCTGCTACAGCCCAAGGCAGGGTCGCCTCTCTAACACGAGGCAGGCAGGCCCGGCCTTCCCACACCAAGGCCAGGGAGGGTGGCCAAGCGTGAGGGCTGTTGAGGTCAAATGCTTTGTGTGGGAGGCGTTCTTCCCAGACGTGCTGTTTTCTAGGCTCAGCTGGGAGAGGCTCTCTCTGGTGTGGCAGCAGCTGACTGTCCCCTTTGCCTGCTGTGCTCTGCCCCCACCTCACACCAGTCCCTCGAAAACACATACCAGGAGCTGCGGTCATTCCAGTCAGCTCTGCACAGCCTCGGCCACGCGGCTCACTGGTTCCTCTGCATGGCCCGAGAGCAGACCTCCCCGGGTCCTGCTGCCTGGAGCAGAGGCACCGCCTGGGAGGTGACCCCTGTCCCCAGCATCTCCCTCTCCCCCTCCTAGAACTACATGAGGGCCAAATGTGTGCACACAAGTCAATTCTAAGGTACGTGTTTGGGGAACGTTCTCGAGATTGTCACAGCTTCCTGAGGGTAACAACAGCCATGTTAGGGCATCATGACGCCAGGTTTGGGCACCCTGGGAGCAGCTGTTCCTTTGAAAGCAGTCCTGTTTAAAGCCACATGTGGGCCAGCTAGTGGCACTGTAGTTAAGGTGGCTGGGTCCCAGGGAGCCGACTATATGGTGCAAATCCCGGATCTAGTGGCTTGAAAAACACACCAGGCACTTGTGCGTGTGTGTCCAAAATCCCGAGGGGAGAATGAAGACGGGATTGCGGTGTGGCCATCGCCTAGGGAGGTGCTTTCTCACTTTCCGTCTCTCTCTGTTTCTCTCCAGTGAGCACACACGCCCTATATAAAAAGAAAAAGAAGAAAGAAAGAAAGAAAGAAAGAAAGAAAGAAAGAAAGAAAGAAAGAAAGGAAGAAAGAAAGAAGAAAGAAAGGCCACATCCTAAACTGCCCTAGCATCACAGCTCGGACAGCAGGCCACCTTTTGCAGCGGCACGACAGCGGCCCGAGTCTGTTTCAGCCCAGCAGTTTTATTCACCCGAGACTGGGAGGTGTCAGCGCGTCCTGTGTGACTGGGCCAGGCACAGGCTGGGCAGGTACGCTGCGGAGAAGGTTCCGGGAGGGGAACTCCCTCCTCCCCACCGGCAGCCCGAGCGAGGCATTCGACGGTGATCACGGATGAAGAGTCCCCCCACTTGTCAAAGCCCACACTGCCTGAACAGCCACCTTCTCTGGGCCACGCTCCGGTCAACCCCTTGGCATGTGCAGAGAGCCGTGTCAGTGTCCCTGTTTCTTCTGCAGCAGGCGCAAGAGGCCAGAGGCAAGAACCCAGCGCTTCTGGGAAACCCTGCAGGCTACTCTTTTTCAAAGTTAATTTCTTCCATGAGAGAGAGATGGAAAGAGACAAAGGCAGAGAGAGGTACTCACACTCCCACCTCGGAGGCCCCAGGACTCCCTTCTTGCTCAGCTTCCCCCAGGCCAGGGCTGTGAAGTTTGGCCCTAAAGTCTTTTTCTTTCCTTCCTTCCTTCCTTCCTTCCTTCCTTCCTTTTTCTTTCTTTCTTTTTCTTTCTTTCTTTCTTTCTTTCTTTCTTTCTTTCTTTCTTTCTTTCTTTCTTTCTTTTTTTTACTTTTTTCCGTTCACAATAAAATGGCTATGCGTTTGTCAGAGAGCAAGAGAAAGAGAGAGAACTGGTCACAGGGCTTGGCACGATGTGCCCTCTTTCCTCCGGTTGTGCAGCCGCTAGGACCCTGGGCACGTATACACGCACCTGGCGCGTGTTCTGGCCCTCCCGGCCAGAGACTAGAGCGGCTGACGGCACGTGTCCTCCAGCTCTGCCGTCCAGGACACTGTGACTGCGCCACAGACCCTGGGCCCTGATGTCCGTTGTTCCCTCTGCCATTCTTCTGGGATTTTCACCCAATAAGAACCCCTTGTCCTAGCATGGCCAGGTAATCCCTGCAGAAAACCGTAGGGTATAACAGAAGAAATGGTCCTCAGCAAATTCTGATTTCTACTGAGACCCAGACGAGGGTAGCGAATGGGCACAGCTCGTACAGCTGGTGGCGGGAGGGTCTGGGCTAGAACCCAGGACGGGGCTCCTGACCACTGCTCCTCCCATCACCCTGTCCCTGGCAGTGGCTGGCACCCTAGTTCTAGGAGGGCTGCCCAAGGACAGGAAGTGGAGGGCAGGCAAGGCCAGGCATCAGACCGCCAGTCCTCTGTCAAGTCAAAGGTATTTATTTCTCAACAAGTATTTTGAGAAAATTGTTATTCAGTGGTGTGACTTTTGGGGCTGGCCCCAAAGCCTCACAGTTAAAGGAGCCAGACCCCACATGGCCAACTGCAGTTCGATTCCTGGCCCTGGCAGCTTGGGCAAGCTGGCTGTGTGTGCTTGAACCCTAACAGGATGGAGAGATGAAGAAGAGATTGCGGTGTGACCATGCCCCACGCCCCACAGCCCACCGAGGTGGGGCTTTCTCCCTCTCCTCCTCTCTGTCTCTCCTCTCTGGGGAGCGCGTGTACCCCCTGGCAATTAGAAAAACAATACTAGACCAGCCCCAGAGTAGTGGTTAAGGGAGCCCAGAGTCCACGTGGCCAACCGCAATTCAAACTCCAGCCCCGGTGGCCTGAAAGTCATACTAGGTGTGCGCGCCCCAAATCCCGACAGGATGGAAAAATGGAGCAAGAGGGATTGTGGGTAGCCATCTCCCTGGGGGTACTTCCTCCCTTTTCCTCTCTCTGGCCCGTGCATGCAAGTCAGCCTCAGTGGTGACGTATGCTTGGCTTCCTTCTCTCCAGAAGAGACATTTGTGGCTAGCTCGCCTCTTCCTTTCTCCTGTCGCCTTGTCCCACCTTGTTCTCACAGTTCTTAGCCTCTTTTTGAAACCATGAACTCTCTCCCAGGCTTCTGGAATATTCTGTCCGGGGCCGGCCAGGTGCTGTGGTATTCAAGGCTGCTGGATCCCACATGGCCACCTGCACCATTTGAGTCCCTGACCCGGCAGCTCGAAAAACATGCTAGGGGCATGCGTTTCCAAAATCCTGAGAGGAGAGCTGAAGAGAAGGGACTGCAGTGTGGCCATCTCCTGGGTGGGGGGTGCTTCCTCCCTTCCCTTGTCTGTCTCTGTCTCTCCAGAATCTGAGATTCTGCCCTGGGGCTCGCTGTTCTGGCTATTCTGTTCCCACACTGCCATGGTTCTGGGGGTTATCCCCAGAAGAGTCCTTTGTTCTTTCCTGGCCTGGTAAACTTACTGGAGAAAGCGCAGGCACCCCAGGGGCCCCGGGACCCACCACAAGGCCTGAGTACCGAAAGCACCAGATGAAGGCTGGCAGGATCGGGGCTCCGCACATTTGTACGTATTAGAAAGGATTCTCACTCCGATGGATGGTACGTTTTGAAAATATAAACCCTAGATGTTGCAACGGACCAGATGACGGTGCAGCAGTAAGACGTGATGCTGGGGAGAGCAGATGGTGAGGCAGCTATGTCGCTGGACTCCCACATGGCCGATTGCGGTTCAAGTCCCAGACCCTGAAAAGCACACCAGGCACGTGTGCATGCGTGCCCAAGATCCCAGGAGAATGGAGGGGAGGCTGCAGTGTGGCCATCGCCCTTCTGGGAGGCGACTTCTCACGTCCCCTCTCTGTCTTTCTCTCGGGTGCGTGCACATGCCCTAAGGCGAAAACCTCTAAAACAAAAACAAAAACAGAAAGCTTGACGTTCTGGGGGCCAGCAGGTGATGCGATACTTAAGAAGCTGACCTCCCACGTGGTCTACCGTGGCTCGAGTCCCGGACCCGGCGGATTAAAAATTGTGCTGGGCACAGGTGCACAATGTGCTGGGCGCGCCCCAAGTCCCCCAGAGGTGACAGAGGAGAAGGGACGGTGGCATGGGCAGCCCCCGGGTGTGATTTCTTACTTGCCCTCTCTGTCTCTGTCTCTCTCCAGTGAGACCACACACACTATGACAAAAACCTCAGGAGAAAAAGAAGTGATGCTCTGTGAAGCCGACCCCAGGGGAGGTCCAGGCTCCACGTCTGGTGACCTCCCCGAGTGTGGCAGACACACGCGTGCCTGAGATCTGGGGCTGGCGCTGAGACCTTGTTGGGAATGCCTGTCTCTCTCTCACTCGTGGAAGAAAGAAATAAAAGTGAAACAAAACCACAACAGAACCAGCCAGCGGCTGGTGGAGGAAGCCCAGCAGCCTTCCCTTACAAAGCGGCGTGAGCCTCGGGCTCCTCTCCTCTCAGCCTGTGTGCAGGCTCAGCCTTTCCCCGGACTTCCCTGGAGGCCGAGGCTGGGGAGAACTCACCTATGACATTCCGGATGTCATCTTCTTCTTCGGGGCTCAGGGTGGGGCTGGCCGGGGTCGCCCCCTGCCCAGCGGTCGTCTCGTTCCCCAGAGGGTCTGTGCTCACCATGCTGGGAGGCACCGGGGCCAAGGTGGCGTCCACAAACGTGTGCCCAGGAGCAGCCCCCGGAGAGGCCCAGGCTGGAGGCTGCGGCGTGGCCGTGTGGGCCACGGTGGTGGCTGCCTCCGCTGTGGGGTCTGGGGACACCCGGGTGGTCTGCGGTGTTGCCGAGAGCTGTTCACTTGCGTACTGAGCGGGGTCCGTGGTGCTCCCTGGGGCTGAGGTGGCCGTCTGCAGCAGGGCTGAGGATGGGGGCGCAGTCTGAGTGCCCGGGGTGGCTGTCGCAGTAGCCGTTGGCCTCTGGGGGGTGCTGGTCAGCGGGTCGGTGTGTCTCAGGAGCTGATCTTCAATCAGCAAATCCACTCCATTGTCACCGCTGAAAAACTCGTCTTCTGTGAAACAAAGACAGGGCTCAGCGGTGGCCCGGGGAGAGGGACGAGCTCCCAAGGGTGCGAGCTCGGGGCCCGGGCAGCGTGGCAAGGTCCTGTCCTCTCTGCAACGCCCTGGTTTGGGCATGGGGTGTTACAGGAAGGTGAAACAGAGCACAGGAGGAAGGACATCGGACGGGAGAAGCGGTCTTCAAAAGTTCATGGGAAATGTGTATTTTGGAAAAACTATACGTGGGTTTCGATTTTTTTTTTTTTTGCACCGACTTTAATTCCACTTCCCCGTGCACTTGCCGAAGCCCCCTTGAACCTCCTGACAGTCTCTCTGAGACTCCAGCCAGGACGCGGGGTCATGGCAAGGCACGCAGCCCTGACCTGTGAAACTGGTTGGCTGGGAGAAAGGCAGGCTCCAGCCCACTTAGTCGGCAGTGCCAGCAGAGCCCACGCGATGGCAGATGGCAGCACGGAGGGCCTGTCCCCACGGACACTCCTCCAGTGGCAAGGACACTGAACAATGGACGGGCAGGCTGCAGTTTGAGGGTGCTGTGGGGAAAGGCGGAGGGGCAAGGAGGGCCGAGCATGCTGGGTGGGAAGGGAGCCCTAAGGCAGTGAAGGATGGGTCACCTGGGCTCACGGAGATGGAGAGCAGCAAAGGCCTGAGGGTGGTAAGGGGCTGGGCCGAGCAGCTCTCAGGGGTGGGAGAAGAACCCTGGGAAGGAACAGCAGACAAAGGCCCCGAGGCCGGACATGCCTGCTGAAGGCCAGCCGAGGTGGCAGAGGTGTGAGGGGGAGAGCAACAGGAGGGGAGGAACGTGCAGAGGCAAGGATTCTTAGAGGAAACAAATAACTAACCACAGAAGAACCAGTTTGTCAGATGGACTACACTGCACATCAAAACAACATGAGGGGGAACCAGCAGTTAGCGTAATGGCTATGTCGCTGGACTCCCACATAGTCGACTGCGGTTCGAGTCCTGGATCTGATGGCTTAAACTCACACCAGGCGTGTGTGCATGTGTGTCTAAGATCCCGCGAGGAGAATGGAGGAGAAGGGATTGCGGCGTGGCCATCCTCCTGGGGGGTGATTTCTCGCTTTCTGTCTCTCTGTCTCTGTCTTTCTGGCGAACGCACATGCCCTATAGAAAACCTCTCAAACAAAACCAAAAAAATAATACGAAAGAACGGCAGGAAGGCAGATTGGCATGACATACAATGATAAGGGCTTATATCCAGAATATGTAAAAAGCCCCTGCACATCAACAACAAGGACAAAAAACCCGACAGTTACAAATGTGCAAAATGATCATGCCGGCTACTGGCTGAGCACAGGCCAGCGGGTTATACCTGAGAGGGGAAGAAACCAGTGCAGGCAGAGTTGGGGGTGGAAAATCCAGGGACCTTCCGCAGGTTCTGGACAAAGAGAAGAGGAGACAGCTGGCAGAAAGATGCAGGAAGAGGACGTGGGAAAGGGATAGGTATTTTCTGCGAAAACGTAAAAGGATGGAGAGCGAAGGGGAGGGGCTAGAGGCTCAGACAGGATGCTTAGGGCCTTGGGGGGAGGCACTGGCGGGAAAAGACCCCTTCTGGCTCTCAGAGAATTGCCCCCCACAAGCCTGACTCCTCATCTGTGAATGGGGAGGACTGGACTGCAAGGACCCTGAAGTCCCTTCTGCTCAGTGTGTTCTGCCTATGGTTGCTCCGCCACTTCGCAAGTTTCCAAGAAGCGCAGCGAGAATTCTGGGTGGCCCGTACCTCTGCAGGTGGGGCCCCGGCAGTCTTCAGGCTGCGTTAGGGAGCCTGGCTCAGGGGAGCCCATCCGTGGTCCGATGGCCACACCCCCCATGCCCTGCCTCTGGGCGGCCCCACTGTCCCCAACTCACGCTGCTCTTCGATGTCATTTTCCTCCTCGGGGACCTTGGCTTTATAGTAGGTGAAGCCCCGGATGACGGTGGGCCTGGAGGCCGGCCGGCCCCGCAGGTGGATCTGCCTCTGCCGGGGTCGCTGTGGCTTCACCACCTCGGGCTGAGCCAGGGGCCGCGTCTGTTGGATCTCGATGGAGTTGATGCGCTGGGACACGGTTTCCTCCTGCAGGAAACGCTCTTCATACTGCTCCGCGGAGGGACAGAAGGGGAGGCGAGCCCTGGTCAGAGTGGCAGCGGGCACAGCAAGGCGGTCAGGGCCGTCCTGCCAACCGCAGCCTTCCCCGGGAGCCAGTCAGTTCCGAGAGGCACTTATTTCTGTGTGGGACTGACAGCCTTCTCACCAGTCCTGTGGGGCGGGACCCATCGAGGGCCTGCACCGGGACCTCTCGGCTCCCCTGAGCTGCGCGGTCTCTGCTCAGACTGCTGTCTGGAAGTCATGACCACCCCTGCCCGTTGAGCCACTTGTTGAAGCCTACCTCAAGGCAAACCGAAACTCTCAGGTCCCCGAGGAAAGACGCCCAGATCCTCCCGCCCAGAGTTCATCTTTCCCCCCCAGCCCTGCTTCGCGTCTTCTGGCAGACGCTTCCACCTGACCGCCCGGATCCCTGCCTTTGTGCTAATAGAGCCCTGGCTCTGTGGGCATGGCCACGGGCTGGATTCGGCTCAGTGCGGCACAGGTAGATGTCGGTGCAGGGAGCATTGGGAAACATTCCTTAAGAGGGATGCTGCAGGCCAGCGAGTGGCATAGTGGTTAAGGTGGCTGGACCCCACAAGGCTGACTGTGCAGTTTGAGTCCCAGACCCAGAAGCTTGAAAAATACACCAGGCACATGTGTGTGCATGCCCAAAAAATCCCAAGAGGAGAATGCAGGAGAAGGGAATGAGGCGTGGCCATCCTCCCAGGGGTGCTTTCTCTTTCTCTCTGGTGACTGCACGTGCCCTATACCAAATGGAAAAAAAACAAAGGGGGGGAGGGGAGCTAACACAACAAAAGGCATCTTTTGCTCTCTTCCTCATTTCTCTGGCCTGAAATGTGGACAGGACAGCTGGAGCTGAGCAGCCACCTTGTGACAAGGAGGGGATTTCTGAGGATGGAAGTCACTATGTCTTGGAGCTGATCACACCAGCCTGGATTGCCGGCCTCCAGAGCTATTCTCCATGAAAAGTTAACAAACTGTTCTACTGTTTAAGGGACCGTGTTCTGGCATCTATTAGGTCATCGGGAAAGTCATGACATATTTTTGTTGTTGTTGAGAGAGATTTTTGCTATCGGGCATGTGCCCTTGCTGGAGAGAGAAGAAGAAAGCCAGAAAGTGAGTTATCGCCCCCCCAGAGGGGGGATGCTGCTGTAATCCCTTCTCCTCCATTCTCCCCTCGGGATTTTGGGCACACATGCACACGTGCCTGGCATGACTTTTAAGTTTCCAGATCTGGGGCTCGAACTGTGGTCAACTACACAGGAGTCCAGCGACATAACCACCATGTCATCTACTGATTCCCACGATGTATTCTTCTATGCAAAAATGCATTGACTTTCCTGATGATCAAATAACTTGAAGCTGAACATAGTTCCTAATGAGTCCAAGTCCGCGTTCCCACTACGGCACGTCTCCCAGCCTGCCTTCCGCCCTCCCACAGCTGTCGCTCAAGGGTGCCGCCATCTCCGACTGTGACGGCCTGAAAGAGCAGACATCGCCGCTTCTACTTCTTTGACTGCCCTGGATGAATGCACCTCAATATTTGTTCAACTGAATTTTTAAAAAGCTTATTTCTTGAGAGACAGAAGGAAGAGAGGGAGAGAAGAGAGAGACATGTGTACATAGAGAAGGGCACTCCCCAGAAGGGTTCCTGTGCCATGATCCACCCCCAGCCTCAGCTGGACAGGTTCACAGCACACACCTGTGCCTGGCACACTCAGGGAGGCCCCAGGATGCGAACCCAGACTCTTTCCATTTGGGCCCGATTGCATCACTGCCATGCCACCACTGGGCCCTGCTAAACTGAGTTTCTGAGGGGTCTTCTGTGACTGGCAGCCCGAGACCAGGTGTCCAGGCGCGTGGCTGGCACCCTGAGAGTCCCACCATTTAAGGCAGCCTCCCCTTCTCAGGGCTGCTGCCCAAGAACGGGCCTCTTGTGCCCATGGAGTGGCATGGTCTCGGGTCCGGCCCTGCCCTGTCCAGCTCTGCTCCCTGCCCAGGGTCATAACCACCCACCTTTGGCTGCAAGGACCTGAGGCTCGGGCCCGGGAGCTGGCTGTGTTCAAAGGCAGGGCCACCAGCCAGGTTGATCTGGCTCCCGAGGGGCAACGGCTCCATCAGGAAGTGCATGGTGGCCCAAGGGTGTGGCCAGCCCAGCTCTCCTGGGGACCACAGTGGCCAGTAACAGAGGTGGCTCCCCACAGCTATGGAGCCCAACCAGAAGAAGGTTGGGGGCTCAACCTGTAGTTCTAGACCTTTGGAATCCACCGGAGAGCAGGGCCCATGCAGAAGGCAGCCTTGGTCCCCGATGCCCAGGACCCAACGCTGAGCAGCCTTCGGCCCCGCCATGTTATTAGCCATCACGGCCAGCTTGCTCCCTTTGCACGGGAGGA